GGGGGGGGGGAGGACCAACTGCACGGTGTGGCCCACCCATGAGAGCAGCATGGCAATAAGTAGATGGGAGGGAATGACCATCCACACTGCACGGTGTGGTCCAGGGACATTACGAACCGAACAAGGACAACGTTCTCTACGGTCAATTGTTTTTGCCCCCCCCCTATTTCTTTCGGCCGCTTTCCTTCTAGCTTCGCTCCAGCCAGACGGGGAGAAGTCGAATAATATGAAAGCCTTATTAATTTTCTGGTTCTCTGGGAGCCCCGCAGCTCCGCCGCCGAGCCGACCAACACCCGGTCGCGCGGGAGGGGGTGGGGGAATGTTTTTGTTGACTTCCCCTGGCGTGATTAGCAGCACAGCTGGGCACAAATTAAAAGGAAGAGGGGAAAAAAACCAAGAGGGAGAGATGGCGGCGTCCAGCTACGAAATAATTCTTGAGATGCAAACAAATAATAATAACATTTCAGCAAATCAAGTATGGCAACGGCATCCCAGTATTATATTTCTTCCCAACGTGAAATTAAACGCACGCACACAAAGAAAACCATGAAATGCACTGGCATAACAGCCAATACAACAGGACACAGAGGCCAGCCCCCCCAAAAATGAGAAAAATCACAAAATCGCAATTTGTTTAGAAATCTAAAAAATAAAAATGAAAATGGGAGTGTAGTCGAGGCTCGGCCCCGCCTCTGCCGCTGCGCGGCGTGGCGAGGGCTTTGGTGTGTCGATGAGATCCAGGTTGGCGATAGGGTCCGAGACGCAGTTTTAGGGGAAATGGTCTGCAGCGCCCGTCTGCGCCCGGCCCGGCTTTGTGGCTGGCGTGCACCCCCCCCCCCCTTTCCTCCTCCGCCTCTCCCATTACCGCCGGGGCGTCGCGGCGCCGCAAAGGTGCAAGGCTTTGGCGTCGTCGCTTTGCGTGTCAGCAGCCTCGGAACACAGTCAACAGCGAGCCAGCAAGAGAAACCGAAAAGAATAATAATTTGGCTATCTTCAACTATTTTTTATTAAATTTATTAGTTTCACTGATTCCACCACACATTTGAGTACTAATAAAGCATATCGCAAGGCTCAAATGCAGAAGAATGCAAAGAAGAGAACGGAAATCAAGATGCTTTAACATGGTGACTTCCGTTTTCTTGTTCCATACATTCTTCTGCATTTTAGCTTTACCGGCACGCATTATTGGTGCAGCTCTGATTTGAAATCAGACATCCATTTCGATTAGTACGTATGTTTGTCAGGAGAATGCAGAAGGGAATTTCCAATCACGGGGCTCTTTCCCTCTATCAGGTCTAGCTGGACCCTAATACACAAAGCTTTGTGTTTAGCTCCCTGAGGCTGCTCACAAATTTGTATTCCTGCACCAGCAAGACACAATTTTTTAATCAGGTCACTTTGATCAGAGATGCCAAAGTTTAATTTGGCTCGATACCCATTATGTTGCCTATCACATCTTAGGGCGTATGTTTCAGTACTCACAATGAGTAAGACGACGTACTGTTGCTTCACTACGTTCATTGTGTTGTCATTGCTGTCATTCACTGACCGCCACACAAACATTTTAGAAACAATTTATCTATTGACATTTTAAAAAGTGTTACTTGAGAGAGGAAAAATAGTAAAACACAGAGGAAAGAACTACAAAAGACTATGAGATAGTAAATCCACAACTGGAGCAGCCTGAAGGAATGGAACAAAAAAATATACCGTGTTGATAGAGAAATTTTAAAGGCTGAACAGCATGAACACATGCAGCATGACAAAGTTTGACACCAAAAGGAAGCGTTTTCCCAGTAGTTTTTGCAGTTTGTATGAACATGAGACAGGACTACTCCATTACAACAATGTTAAGTGTACGTCCGAATTCCCAATCGTATCGCTAAAAATAGCTAAGAATCAATCGATAGTGATGAGAGAGGAGGAGGGATGGATTCGTACTGATTCGTTACGATACGATTGAAAGATTGAGAGTTCGAATCGAACCCACTCAGCGGTCGTGCCTAGTCGTGCCGGTCGAGAGACAGGTTACCTTGACGAAGACATGAGGCTCCAGTTCTTGATGAGGAAAATAACAAAGACTCAAATATTCGACCAATGACGATTTTAAACTCCGTCTTCTTAATAATCAGTTAGAAACAAACACTTATCCATTAATAAAAAATTAAAAACACTCCGAAATGCTAAACGAGCATTATCGTCCGAAACGGATACACGAACGACTGACGAGAGTGGTGCCAACCCAGAAAAAAACAACACCACCAATGATAAAAGTTCAATCCTTCCCTATGTTTCACAAAGATTTGTTATGTATCTAAACAATTAAATAACCACAAAAAAACATGAAAAGTGTTAGATTTTTTTCACACTAATGTCAAAAATTCAAGGAAAACTAAAAGTAGTCTGTTACTGCTTCTGTAAATAATAGTTGACCACACATAACTTCAGTTTGCTTCAGTTTCTGTTTCCGCTTTAAAACACAACTCAGTTGTGTTGTTCTTTTTCGTTTTCTCATCAGTTTCCGTTATAGTCGTTGATTCTGAAAGAAGGTTGAACTTTGCTATTGAGTTGTTTTGGAACAAAGTCGTATTTATGTTTCGATAACGATACCAACTTCTCCTTAACGTACAGAAGAAAGGAGGAATAGTTTTACTTTCGTGTCTCATCTGAAAAGCTTTGCGCGGTGCGAGGATCAAAAGGATTTGTGTGTGAACTTCACTGTTACATAACCTGCCAGCTTTGCCTTTTTGTGGTAAGTGCCCACCTGTTAAAAAGCCTTTCGCACCATTTGTTCTATTTCCCAAGATGTCTCAAACAAAAAAAGTATAGATCTTTTACTCAATTTATTTGTGTGATACTCATGATTGGTTGAAAACTTTTATCTCAATCAATCTCACAAGTCCTTAGGTTACAGTACACTTTAACTACTAATTTGTTTCAAATTGCTGGGCTTATACTGTCATCGAATGTCATTTGTTTGATACATTCCAATTGGAAATCAGCCAATCAGAAGCCTCGAATACCCACTGGAACATATACAACATTTGTCAATCGATGCCAGTCCAAACACTGCAATATAATTGCGCGTTCTGAACGGTAAACTGCACTGGTAAAACCTTTTATTTGGAGACTGTTCTGCTGCTTGAAAGTTTACTCCTTGCTGTGTGTGTCTATATTTAGAGCTACCTAGTTAACACATTCTAATAAGGCCTTTTGTTATAGGTGACCTATAGCAAATATAAGGTGTTGTTAAGTTTTATTGATAGACGCTAGAGTAGTCAAATGATTCAAGAAAACTGCCAGGATATTAAGGAGTGATCTCATTTTTACACCTCATAATGTAATGTTATAAATTAACAGTTAACTAATTACAAAATCATGTTGTTGTACAACAGCCACTGTAGCTGCAGTTTCTTTGAAAACAACAATTTTTTTGGAGCAAAAGGTAGCAATTTGGTCATTATTTAGCATTGGATGTACAGTAATAGTAGATTTGGTTTGCTGAAGCCAGCCTATCCAAAAAAATCCTTTTTATTATCTGATTGTAATCTGATTATAGTAAACCCATCTTGATGTTGGCTTCAGTGATTCAGCCAATCACATTACCTGGTACACAGCCTGAATTCAGGCTTTACTTGCTTTACTAGACCAAATATATCATAAAAAATGTTGACATGAAAATGTTTGTTTTCTGGCAACTATTTGTTTACAATAAGTCTGGCGTACTACAACTATTACTCAGGGTTTAGACTGGCTGAGATTGTCATTTGTTGGATATGTTCTAGTGGACTTTCAAGGCCTCTGATTTCCAACTTGAATGTGTTCAACAAATGGCAATCGTAGCCAGTCTAAACCATGCATTAAACTTCCACAGGGTTTTGAAAGTATGCACATCTGTTGGTATTTGTCTGTAGTAATCAATAGAAACGTACCCAACATACCAAAACTGCAAACTGAACTTAAATTAAATTTAAATGTTAAAATGTTATTTTATATACTTAAAATAGAACTACTTTGAATTTCTGTGTTCTTTGAATTGTGGAAATGATGCCACTATACCTTCACTTTTAGAGAATTTAAAGTAGAACTGAAGAGTCTGTAGGTATGAGCCCACCCAATGGTTGATTTGCAAGTTTTGCTGCTGTGTTAGGTTGGTAAATACCATCTGGACTGGCTCTTCCAAAATACCTTAACTTCTTTAAAAGTTTGAAAGTTGAACAAGTAAATTTTTTCCCTTTTTCAAAAGAAAAAAAATTGCTGATTTTTTTTACTTTTTTTGTAAGTTTTCCCCTCACATTTACCTACTGCTCTACTTACTTGCATATGCCAGCATGCAAACGGGAAGGGGGCTTTCCTAAATGAAGCAATACAATTCAGTTGCTTTTAGTAATGTAAAAATAAAATAAGAAAAAAAATTCTAATGTGGTGGTGGGGTGTTGGAGGTGGTGAAGATAAGGTTTTGGGTGTTGCCTATCAGCGCACGCTAGGCGCGGCGCGGCGGGGCGGGGTGGGGCGGGGCGGGGCCCTGGGAAATGGACTTGTCCCGTGCAGGCAGCTGTGCCTCCGTCCCCTTCTCTCTCTCTCTCCTTCTCCCAGCACTAATTAAGTCGTGTGTTGTAACGCAGATAAGCCCCCGGCCCGGACCTCGGCGTGCGAGCAGCGAGGAAGGCGTAAGGTGAGCAATTACTTTGTTTGGAACCACTTGTTGGGACGCATCTCCAGCAGGTGCTTCGCGCCCACGGCATGCACATGGCGGAACTTCGTGCGGAAAATGGGCTCAACGTCGAGCTTCGATGGTGCTATCGACAATGTCGACACCATGTCGGTGAACTTCAACTTCAGCGAACTTTCCCCTCCTTTTTTCTTTTCTGTCACGATTTTTGACAATGTCCGGCGAAATCCTGCCTCTAACTTCTACTCTAACAAGGCATAGATTTTCTGGAGCCATGCGGTATGCCGACTATCTCCCTCAAGTTTGTATTTGCATGTGCATGACACAGTACAATCCCTACATATTACATACCATTAGATTTGTATCTCGATACGCAAAAAACTTTTAACTTCAAACTTCTGAATTACTCTCTAACTTTCAACTTTCGGACGGTACAAACTATGATGAAACTACGTATCGTCTGCTAAGAATTGTGCATAAACTCTGCGAATGCAACAAGAGTACTTGGTACCAAAAAAAAAAAAAAAGCAAGAAGTGCGTACTTGTAAGCTCACTCACACACACACACCTTTAAGTGTGTACTTGACTGCACACACACACACACACAGTGTGTACTTGCCATAGTGCACTTTTTCCTTTGTGTGTCACACTTGTTGTGTGTGTATGGCTGAATAAACTTCTGCATTTCTATGCACAACAAATTGCATGTAAGGGTTTTAGTGTTGTGTATGCGTTTCCCGACTGCGATATTGCCCCCCCCCCCCCCAAAGTGTCGGTCGCGCAATCCCGCTCAGGGTTCATCGCGCTAAACTAGTCTCTGTTGCCTTCACCACGGCCCGGCCTGGCGGGATGCTTGTTTTAAGTGTCGGCTGTCTCTGCGCGGCGCGCGGGGCGCGACACCACCGCGGGGAGCGGCGCAGCGGAGCAGGGGGCCGCTCGCAAGCCGCCACAGCGGTGCTCAAGTTGTTGCGTCCAAGTTTTGCAAGCCGCAATATGACTCGATTAAAAGTTGGCCAGGCCCGACCACCACGCGGGGCCGAGCCGAGCGCGGCCGAGCCCAGCCGAGCCGGGCCGAACCCGCGGCCGAGACGCATCCTTGTAGCCAACTACTTGTCGACACAAAGAGTTTGGTGCCGCGGGGGAACTGACCTGCGACAAACCGCGCGCGGAGGCGGCGGCGGCGGCGGCGACCTCAGCCCGGGAGGTAGGCCTCGGCGTCGCGGTGGTGCGCAGGGGGTTGCCTACCCGGAGCCTCGCGGGCGTTCCTCGCCTGGAAACAAAACTCCCTTCCCCCCGTGGTGGGCCGCTTGATTTGGTTGTTATTCGATCTCTCTTCCGGGGTCTTCCGCGTCGTCAGCTTCTGCCGGAGAGAGGTCTTCAGTCTCGAAATACCTTTCGCGTGCCGTTCTCTGTATTATTTTTTTCGCGACAACCATGGAATATCTAGAATATTTCGGAATGATTTTGGAATATTCTAGACATCCAAAAATATTCCCGGTTATCCAAAAATCTGAGTGGTCGACCGCTCGGCGCCCTGCTTCCTACCATCCCTGGACTTTCTGGAGGTGCCCACCTTTGGGTTTTCCAGTGTCGCCGTGCGTCCCTGCCATAATGAATGACGATTGACGCGCCGCCGCCGCCGTCGTATTCATATTCGGCAGACCCACGGGGGAGGAAGGGAAGGGGTGGGGTGTGGGGGTTAATATTGAGCAAGGCGTCACTTATTCATCCATCTGGGGAGTCTGCGCGAGGAGGCGGGTGGGTGCCACTCGCTGCCG